CAAAAAAGCTGAGACAAAACCTGCAATCTGAACCTAACCAGGTATCCCAAGGAATCTGAAAAACAAACTCCTAGAACTGAAATAATGCAGGATACAAAACTGGTATTAAAAAATCAATTAGGTTTCCATTACTGCCATAAAGTCGATTCCAACCCATAGAGACCCCCATTGGGGTTTCTGAAGCTGTAAATCTTTATGGAAAGGGCCTTGAGCTGCTGATGGTGATTCTGTCTTCCTCTTGTGTAGTTAGAGGAGGTCAAAAGATGCTGCCTCCTTGTCCCTTTAGTACTACCCAAAGCAATCTATACATTCAATGCAATTCCAATCCAGATCCCATCAACATTCTTTAAAAATATGGAAAAAATAGTCACTAATTTTATATGGAAAGGAAAGAAACCTCAGATAAGCAAAGCACTATTGAAGAAGAACAAAGTAGGAGGTCTTATACTCCTGGATCTCAAAACCTAGTATATAGCCACAGTAGTCAAAACAGCTGATACAGGTACAATGACAGGCATATAGACCAGTGGAACAGAACTGAGAACCCAGAAATAGATCCATTGACCTAAGGTCAGCTGATTTTTGAAAAAGGGCTGAAATCCATTATATGAGGAAGAGATGGTCTCTTTAACAAATGGTGCCGGCAAAACTGGATATCCATTTGCAGAAAAATTAAACAAGATCCGTACCTCACTCCATATGCAAAAACGAACTCCAGGTGGATCAAAGACTTAAATGTGAAATTTAAAAATATACAGTTCCTCAAGGAAAAAATTCGGGCAAATTTAGGGGCCCTAATTTATGGCATAAATAGACTGTTACTCATAACCCAAAATTCACAGATAGCAGAACATAAACTAGATTAATGGGAACTTCTAAAAATTAAATTTTTATGTGCTTCCAACGACTTCTCCAAAAGAGTCAAAAGAGAACCTACAGACTGGGAAAAAATATTCGGCAACAGCATATCTGACAAGAGACTTATCCCAAAAATTTACAGAAAACTCCAACACCTCAACAACAAAAAGACAAACAATCCAATTAAAAATGGGCAGGAGACATGAATAGACACTTCACCAAAGAAGCTATTCAGGCAGCCAACAAACACATAAAGAAATGCTCACAATCATTAGCCATTAGAGAGATGCAAATCAAAACAACCATGAGATACAATCTTGCCCCAGTAAAGTTCAACAAGACAGAAAAGAACAAATGCTGGCTAGGATGTGGAGAGATTGGGACTCTCATACACTGCTGGTGGGACTGTGAAATGATACAACCACTGTGGAAAGCAGTATGACGATTCCATAAAAAGTTGGAATTAGAAATACCATTTGATCCAGCAACCCCATTACTAGGTATATATCCTAAAGAAGTGAGAGCCAGGCCAAGAACAGATACATGCACACCCATGTTCGTCATAGCACTATTTACAACAGCAAAAAGATGGAAACAACCTAGGTGCCCATCAACAGAAGAATGGATAACCAAACTATGGGGCATACATACAATGGAATACCATGCAACACTAAAGAATAATGTAGAAACTGAAATACACTGCATAAAGTGGATGAACTTCAAGGACATTATGCTGAGTGAAAAAAATCAATCACAGAAGGACAAATATAGTATTAGTTCATTATTGTAACAAAGTCAAGGAAAGGTTTATATATGGAAGGAAACTTTCTTTGTTGGTTACCAGGGGTAGGAGGAGAGGGGACAGAACATTGCAAAAAATAAAAAATATAAATAAATATGTACACACATACATACAGATTTTCAGTAATCTGGGGAAAACGTTTTAATATTATCTCTGACATTTACAAGAGATGAGAAATCTGGTTATTTTTAATACTCTAACACCTTGTGAAGTGCTGTTTGCAAATATCTATTGGTTTGATCCAGCAATGTCAGATCATGGAACACATGTTAGTACAAGAGAATAAAGATACATTTATGGGATGTTCACTTATTGTGGAGTCTCTGGGTGGTGCAAATGGTAACACACTAAGCTGTTACGCAAAAGCTTGGAGTTTTGAGTTTATCTAGAGGTACTTAGGAAGTAAGCCCTGGTGATCCACGTCTGAGAAATGAGGCATTGAAAACCCTGTGGACTGTTTATGGTTAAGTGTATTCCAACTCATAGTGACCCCACAAGATCTGTCCCATAGGGTTTCCAAGGTTGTAAATCTTTATAGAAACCTACTGCCTCATTTTTCTCCCGTGGAGCAGCTGGTAGGTTTGAAAGATGCCTCCACAAAGAAGATAAACTGATGGCAATTAAGCATATGAAGAGATATTCAAAATCTTCCATAATTAGTCACTACAGAAATGCAGATTAAAGCCACACTGAGATACTACTACCCACCTACTGTTGATGTTGTTTGTTGAGTCAATTCTGACTCATGGTTAACCACAAGGTTTTCAAGGCTGTGATCTTTTGGAAGCAGATCGACAGGCCTTACTTCTGAGGTACCTCTGAGTGGGTTTGAACTGTCAACCTTTCAGTCAGTAGTCCAACGCTTAACCATAGTGCCATGCAGGGACCCTACCCACCTATGAGAATGGTGAAAATAAAATAATGAAACAAAACAGACAACCCTAAGCACTGGCAAGGAAAAGAGTAACAGGAATGCTCATTCATTACTGGTGGCATTGCAAAATGGTACAGCACCTTTGGAAAATAGATCAGTTGTTATAAAGTTAAACATACACTTACCTTATGACCCACCAATCCCATTTGTAGGTATTTATGCAAGAGAAATAAAACCTCATGTTTATACAAAAACCTGTTAAAGAGGTTTAAGAGAACGGAATGCTTATTATAGAGACAGAGCAGTTCTATGAAGCACATTGTAATATGTTTTCAAAAGAATGCCCAAAAGTATTTTAGGTACAAAATTAGGGAAACTAAAAATAAGGAACACCACCCAACACAGAATAGCTAACCTTAATCTTAAAACTATATCTGACATATAGCATGTAAATTATATCTCAATAAAACTAACATCAAAAAAACAATAATAGTATCTGAATAACTTCTTCTACCCCAATGTTTCACTAACCTGTCTAACAAGAATCATTTGCCAATTTGTTTAAAAAAAAAAAAAAAAAGATTCTCAGGTCACTTCCTGGGATACTCTGATTCAGTAAGACTAGGTTAGGGGCCAGGAAACTATACTTTTAAAATGCATTCTTCAGGGGATTTCTATTATCAGATAAATTTATGGGGGAAAAAAAGCTGTCAATCATAATTATTTCTTAGCTACAAAGTGAAACGAAAATTTTTCTTTTACCTGTCTCTTAGTCATATACTGAATGTTATCTAATACACCAAGATAGTCACATACCATATTAACAGTCACATTTCAGAAAAACCCAAGAGCATCCACTGGGATATGAAAGAAAATACTGATCTTCTGTATATATTTACTTTTTGTCTCATACTACAAAATTTCCATTTTTTTTTTAACAAAGTATTCAATAAATCAATGCAATAGTGCATATATATCTTTTTTTCCCCATTAAGATATGTTCTCAAAAAGAGTGAAAACCACTGCTCTAAGGCTCCTGCTTTATTATTTTCTCCCTCAGCCCTTGTCCTGTTTTGCAGTAAGACCCTTGGAATCCTTAAATATAATATATGCCACCATTCTTTGCGCACCAAAACAGCAATATGCCTGTATCCACAGCCAAGCATGAGAGCATCATCATGCTGGATAAAGGGCACCGTTCTGTCCCTGTGCCGAGATCTGAAAAAAATATTTATTATATGGCATCTAGTAAGAAGTGTGGAAGGTGCCTACTTCTTAATACTATTCTTAAAGTCTAGCATTTGAGGATTCAACTCCTCATGTTAACAGTTGTGGTTTCAATCCTCCACAGGTAACTGTGAAATTCCGTATGTGCAGTAATGTTATTGTGCTGAGTCAGAAACCTGATCAAGTATGCTTTCAAGCTGGTGTGAAGGACTATACCATGAAAGACCATAATTAAACTGAAGGTGAACTAAGCTTCCCACCTATCATTTCCTCTCACTCAGCTATGCTGTTTTCCACTCTTTATTAAGGTCAGGAATCAACAGCCACTGCCATCAAGTCAATTCCAATGCATAGCAACCCTGTAGAACAGCAGAATTGCCCCCCATAGGGTTTCTGAGGCTCCAAATCTGTACAGAAGCAAAATGCCTCATTCTTACCCCACGGAGCAGCTGGTGGGTTCGAGCCACCAACTTTTCGGTTAGCAGCAAAATGCTTACAACCACAGTGCTACCAGAGCTCCTTAGGGTTTGGAAAGGCCTCTTAAATTTTTTTAGTTAGGCTTTACCTCAGAAGTCCTCACCATTTATCTGCAAAGTTTATAGTAAAAGGTTATTGAATCCAGATGTGTATATCAATGTATTTTTTTCAATTACACTAAAAACAGATGTGGGATTTGGGAAGTTTTGTGAGTGGGCATTTAAAAGGACTGTCAGGGAGTCTCCGGATGGTGCAGTTGAGCTCTCTTATGAAAGGTTGCCAGTTCGACTCCACCCAGAAGCACCTCAGAAGAAAGGCCTGGGGATGTACTTCTGAAAGACTGCAGCCACTGGGGCAAAAAAAAAAAAAAAATCCACTGCCATCAAGTGGATTCCGACTCATAGCGACCCCCATTGGATTTCCAAGACAGTAAATCTTTACGGAAGTAGACTGCCTAGTCTTCCTCCCGTGAAGCCACTGTTGGGGGGCTATAGAAAAAAAGTATTGTTATACTTTAAAAGACTGGAATTTATGCTATCTTACAAATAACTGCTCAGTGGTATTCATGAATTGGGGCATTTGCAAACTGCTAAGCATGTATTCACTATCAAAGATGTCAAAAAAATTTTTCTTAAGAACCCTTCTCAGGGCAGAATTCTACAGCAAGCATGAACCTCAACTAGAAAAAATACTGCTGTGCTTCTCCTTCCAATCTTCCAAGTCAGGCATACATATCCCACGGGGTCCTTCTCTTTCTCTCACCCTCAAGAATGTCTTCATAAAGTGCATGTACTCCTTCAGGCACGATGACTGCCAGTGCAGTTCCACAGAGAAGGCCGGCACCCAAAACAGTCACCAGCTTTAGTCGCTCCTAGAAAGAAAACATAAGACATTGTGGAAAGCGTTGATTAACGAATGGAGCAAAGTTTCAGAAGCATCTGTAATCAAAACTGTGTACTGCTTGTATGTGAGACCACAACCTACAATGGCCAGTAAATATGAAAAATATTCAGCTTCATAGATAATTAACACCAATTAAAACAAGGAGATACTATTTTTTAATTTACCTGATTGGTAACAAAGTGAAAAAACGTCTACTACCAGGATAGAGGAGCTCTGGTGGCATAGTGCCTAAGGCATTTGACTGCTAACCAAAAGCCTGGCAGTTCAAACCCACCAGCCACTTCTCAGAAGGAAGATGGGGCAATCTACTTCTGTAGTGATACTGCCTTGGAAACCCAAAGTTTTAGTTTATCCAGGATAGGGAGAAATGAGCATCTGTCTAATACTATAAGGAATGTGATATCTCATAATCTATCTGGACCATAAGTTGGCAATTTAGATTAAAAGCCTTAAAAATGTGAATTCTGTGATCCAGTAATTTACTTCTGAAAGTTCATCCTAAGAAAGAAATATGCAAAGAGATTACACTTATTAAGAGCACAAACATGAAAACCAGTATTTCTAAGAAAGGAGAAATCTGACCATATAACAACAATACCACAGCACTCAACCATTGAAATGACATAGGTCTGCAGCAACCATATTAACAAGCAAAAAATGTGTGTGGTTACATAGATAAATATGCTGTGTATATGGTGTTTAGGACAAATAAGACAGACCAATAAGGAACATCATGATGAACTGATAAAACAATGAAGTTGTCAAAGATTTCATTTTACTTAGACCCACAATCAACTCCAATGGAAGCAGCAGTCAAGAAATCAAATGACCCTAAATGGATGAATTTACTTCTGGATTCTCAATTCTTTTCCATTGATCTATGTACCTGTCATTGTTCCAATACCAAGCTGTTTTAACTAAAGTGGCCGTATAGTAGGTTTGGGGATGGGAAGTGTGAGGCTTCCTGCTTTGTTCTTTTTCTTTACTAGTGTTTTACTTATCCAGGATCTCTTTTCTTTCCATATAAAGCTGGTGATTAGTGTTTTCATTTCTTTAGCGAATGATGATGAGATATGAAACAGGATTACATTATAGCTGTTGATTGCTTTGGACAGTATTGACATTCTCACAACGTTAAGCCTTCCTATCTATGAGCATAGTAAAAAAAACCAAACCAAACCCACTGCCATTGAGTCAATTCTGACTCACAGCGACCCCCTTTGGGTTTCTAAGGTGATAAATCTTTATGGAAGTTGTTGTTGTTGTTATTTGCCATAGAGTTGGACCTGACTCATACTGACCCCTCCTTGGGTTTCTGAGGCGGTATCACTATGGAAGTATATTGCCCAACCTTCCTTCCAAGGAGTGGCTGGTGGGTTTGAACCACCAGCCTTCTGGTTAGCAGTCAAGTGCCTTAGGCACTATGCTACCAGAACCCCCCATTTTCCTTCCACAGAGTGGCTGGTGGGTTTGAACTGCTAACCTTCTGGTTAGCAGTCAAATTAGGCACAGCACCATCAGAGCTCCTTATGTGCATAGTATATTCCTCTATTTATGTAAGTCTCTTTTAGTAGTATTTTTCAGTCTTTTTTATAGGTCTTTTGTCTTTGGTTAGATTTATTCCTAAGTACCTCATCTTTTGGGTGGTTATTATAAGTGGTATTGTTTTCCTCATTTCCTTTTCAGAGTTCTCTTTTTAAGTGCAGAGGAATCCTTCAAGCTCAACTTTCAGCCAAACAATAAACAGGCCTATAAGATGAACAATAACACCAGTGAGGTATTTACTCCTTAGAATAATCAACCATATGACTTCAAAAGGGCAGAATTTGTTCAGGAATAAAATTGAGAAGGCAGGAAGGGATAGGAAAGAAGGATGAACAGAAATGGTAAACATAGAGAAGTAGGAAGAGTGCTGTTACACTGTGGGGATTGCAATCAACGTCACAAAACAAAATACATATAAATTGTTGAATGGAAAATCAATTTTCTCTGTAAACTTTTACCCAAATCACAATAAAAAGTTCTTTTTTTTTTAAGAAAAGAAAGAAAGCAAATTATGTATTGCACTGGGCAAATGTGCTGCAGAAGATTTTTTTAAAGTGTTAAAAAGCAAAGATGTCATTTTGAGGACTAAGATGCACCTAACCCAAGCCACAGTATTTTCAACTGCCTCATATGCATGTGGAAATTTGTTGATGCCTCTGAATTATGGTGTTGATAATGATTATTGTATATACTAAGGGCTGCCACAAGAACAAAACTTTCTGTCTTGGAAGAAGTACAGCCAGAACACTCCTCAGAAGGGAGGATAGCAAGACTTCATCTCATGTACTTTGGACATGTCAGAAGGGACTAGTCCCTGGAGAAAGATATCATGCTTGGTAAAGTACAGGGTCAGCAAAAAAAAATGAAGACCCTCAGTGAGATGGCTGCAACAATAGGCTCAAACACAGCAACAACTGTGAGAAGGCACAGGACTGGGTAGTGTTTCATTCTGTCATACACAAGGTTGCTAGGAGTCAGAATTGATTTGATGGCACCTAACATGACATGTGTCTAAGAAGACACGTGTGAGTATATGGGTGTGCATGTATAGATGTATTTGTAAGCATGTGTATATATATGTTTGTGACTGCTGCACATATATTCATATATATAATAAAGCACATAGGGCACACAGTTAGATACTTCCTAGACATAACCAAATACCTCACAAAGTTGGTATTCTGAGTTGAAGGCTTCCATACCAAAAACCCACTGCCATTGAGTCGATTCCAACATAAGGTTTATGACCCATAAAAATGGCATGGGGCATCTAGATGCAATGATGGGGCTCTCCTCATCCACAGCAAAGAAGAATGAAGAAAGCCAAAGAATGGAAACAATCAGTCTGAGGGACTGGTACACCATGCGATCCTCAGCCTATATAACTATGGGACCAGAAAAACTAGATGGTGCCCAGCTACCACTATCAACCCCTCAGAAGGGGATCTATGTAGGAGATCCTTAATAGAGTAGGAGAATAATGGAGAACAAAACTCAAAATCATAAAAAACAAAACCAGGTTTGCTGGTCCGATAGAGCCTGGTGGAACCCCTGAGACTATGGCCCCTAGCTACCTTCAGGTCTGGAATTGAACCCATTCCTATGGCTTCCAGCCAAACAAAAGACAGGCATATAAGCTGAACATTTACTTAGGTAGATACACTCCTTGGAGAAATCATTCATGGGAGAATAGATGTGTAGGCAGAGGGAGACAGCTTGTGGGGGCAGGAGTGCATGGGAGGGAAGGACACAGGGAAGAACTATGGAGAGGAAGTGGGAAGAGAGCAGTTGCACTGTGGGAAATTGAAGTTAATGTCATGAGACAAAAGTGTATGTGAACTGCTGTATGGAAAATGAATTGCTCTATAAACTTTCACCCAAATCACAGTAAAAAAGAAAAATTTAAAAAATTGATACACTAAACATTTCCACTGTAGGAGATCCTGGATAGAGAGGGAGAACAATGTGGAACAAAACTCAAAATCACTTGGGGGCAAAGAAAAGGGGGAGTGGGAACAGGTTTGCTGGTCTGATGGAGCTTGGTGGAACCACTGAGACTATGGCCCCTAGCTGCCCTTCAGGTCTGGAATTGAACCCACACCTATGGCTTCCAGCCAAACAAAAGACAGGCATATGAGTTGAGCATGAATCTGAGGTAGATACACTCCTTGGAGAGACCAATCATGGGAGAAAGAAAGACCGTTTATGCACAGGGAGACAGTTCAGGGGGCAGGAGTGCATAGAAGGATGGACACAGGGAAGAAGTAACTATCAGGAGGAAGTGGGAGGGGAGTTGCTGCAATGGGGTAAACTGTAGTCGATGTCATGAGACAACATGTGTGGGAACTGCTGTATGTAAAGTGAATTTGCTCTGTAAACTCTCACCCAAATCACAATTTTTTTAAAAAAACATTCCCACTGTAGGGTAAAAAAAATGGCATGGGGGATACATTGTCTGAACTCTAATTTCACAAGGTGGAAGAGGATCAAGATCAACAGGCCAAGGTTGATTCCATTTCCTTGCTCTGTTGACCAGAAAGCCCAATGTGGTGTCTCTGTTAGTCTCCTAGTTGTGCTGTCATTTCTCTGCTGCTGTTTCTGTCTCTGGAGGTGTTACAGCTTTCTGTCTGTTTCCTGGGTCAAGGAGGTTCCTAGTATGGCAACCTTGGGTCCAAAGGATGTGTTCCATTCCTGACTTTTCTTTCTTGATGATAATCAGGTCTCCCCTTTCCACATCTGTGAAGGCTCATTTTAAGCCTAGTAGGATGACAAAACTTACCAATCTTCACACTGGGGTTCCATATACCTTATTTGCATGGTCCTGCCCCCACAAGGGTACCATGCATCTTATTTACATTATTAGAAAGCTACCTAATCTCCTTGGTGGGCCATAAGCATCTCACATTTGCATAATCCTACCTAGTCATTTTTAGGAGCTCTGGTAGCTTGGTGCCTAAGGCACTTGACTGCTAACCAGAAGGCTAGCAGTTCAAACCCACCAGCCACTCCTCAGAGGAAGATGAGGCAATCTACTTCCATAGTGATGCTGCCTCGGAAACCCAAGGAGGTGTCGCTATGAGTCGGACCCGACTCGACGGCACATAACAACAACAACAACAATCTATTCATTTGGTGGGAGTTACAAAGACTATGGCTTGAAGGGCCATATTAAGTAATTCACTGTACCACATGATGGTAATTTCATGGGACAATTTGGTCAACTGGCATAACATAGTTCATAAAGATAATGTTCTACATCCTAGTTTGATGAATAGCATTTGGGGTCCTAAAAGCTTCTGAGCAGCTATGTAAGATACAACTATTAGTCTCTGCTTGTATGGAGCAAAACAGAATGAAGGAAACCAAAGTCTCAAAGAAGAAACTAATCCACAAGATTAACAGTCCACACTAACCTGAGAGCAG